TTTTTTAATTTTGTGATCACATTTCTGTCTCCGAGTACTGAAAGGTCCCAAGCTAGTTTATACACTACTGAGTATATCGAAATATCCGGATAATACGGATATTCGAATAACTCGAATAGTGCTATTCGTACTATTCGCTGCACAAAGTATCCGGATATTCGAATACTATCCGTTGATCGAAGTTTATTCGTACATATATATTATATTCGAATATCCGGATATCCGAATCACACTGTTATTCGAATTTAAGCCGCAGCCCTAGTGAATAGTGTACAATGTTTTCTAGTTTGCTGTTGTTATGAGTCGAGAGTGTTAATAAATCTATACATGTAATTATTAATGAATCTATATATGTAATTATTATATTATCTTGTCTTTCAACAGAGATATCTGTAGTATTTGAGATGTTATTATCCGCTTCTTCCTGTATAAATATAATAACATATTTTATGTAAGTATGTAATAAATTGTAGAAATCGAGTGTTTTATGATAAAAATCTGTTATTTTATTGTAAACATCATAAATTATAAAAACGTTTTTACGTAATTATATGCATAATGCAAAAAAACCTTAAAAATATTATTCTTATCGAAAAATTTTATTAAACAATGTAGAAAATTTCTTGATTAATACTTACAGTAATATTTACAAGTGATTTAAGCATAAGATAAAATAAATTTTTTACTTAGATCTTGTTTTTTTTAACGTCAAGATCAAAATCATATGATAATATAAATCTTTTTACAAATACACTTGACTCAATTCCATCAACAATAATCTTATTTATCATCACATACACTTCCTTCCAATGTAAATGATAAATCTTCTTTGATAGCATGTTCAGCAAGTATTATAATTGCATCATGAGTTACTGTAATTGAAGTTTTTTTTTTGCAGCTTTTAACTAAAATTCGAACAGACCTTTATTAGTTTCAGATCCTTTCCATACACCACTATCGGCACACTTTTTAAAAGATTTTAAAGTTTCTGCACAAATGTTTTGTTCGATATAACTAATAATTTGATCTTCTTTATTGTCACTTTTCATAAGAACTATGTTTGCTATTAATTTGTTCTTTTAAAATTTTTGAATAATCTACAGCATCGGCACAAAATGGACTAAGTCCATTCTTCATTTCTGTCAGAAATGGTCTAAACAAAAGTTAGTATGTAATTGATCACATATACTTAATTACAGCTTTTTATATAATCGAACGATCAAACGAGCCCGCCGAAGGCGGGCGAAGTTTGATCAGGATTATACGAAATGTCTCGTTCAAAGATGATAATAATGTAGTCATGCTTGTCATGCCTCAATTCACAACGTTTAACGCATAAAGGATTTCAAAAAGGTGACGCTCTGATCGCTACCCTTCCTCGTTTCCCGCCGTTCAGCTTCATATTGTTTTGTGTGACGTGCGTAGAATTATCACGAAGCCGTTTCAAAGATGATAATGGGTGTACTACTATTCCGTATATATAATTCCTGTTATATATATTATATATGTATTTATGTATGTATTTAATAACATTAGTATTATTTAGTATTTATATATATATTTTTTTTTTTGAAGGGGGAAAGGACGGGAGGGAGATTATCATCTTCGAACGAGACATTTCGTTTGATCATTCGATTATACTGCATGTCTCGTTCTCAATGATAATAATGTAGATGTTTAGAGAGTGCTGAGTGATAATGTCTCTTTCTTTGGTATCAACATTTTTGTTTTTTTTTTTAAAGATATAAGATCGATATAACACCGAGAAAAAGACGATAGATTTTGATTATCTTAAAAACGCATGAGCAAACTGGTCATTGGTGGTCTGAATGGGTTTGTTATAAAACTTAAAGAACATTTGCGAGTTAGGCGCCCATCCAGCCGTGCGTCTGATAGTCGGAATGTCTACTCCGCGGTTATGTGCATTGGACACCGCGGCATGCCGCGTACTATATGCTGAGAATTGATTAGTATCCACTCCAGCTTTTGCTAGAAGCGTTTTAATCCAATGAGCGATGGTTTGTGACGATACTGCGCCAAAAGGTTTTGTGGTCGCAATAAACAAATTTTTTGTATCCTTATTTCTTAGCTCTTTGGTGTAATCTATATAATCTAGTATTGCCGAGGCTACACATAAGCCTAGTTTTTCTTTAAAAAACGGTAATATTAAATCTGGCTGAAAGGCACCAGGTTTTGTTGTTTTTATACGCTCTAGGATTTTGATAGAAATCCCCACGTCTGATTTGACGATATTAACAGTGTGTATTAAGGACAAAGTCTGTAGCCGCTGTGCGGTAGTAAGTGCTAATAATGTAACTATTTTTTTCACAGCTTCCTTTAACTTCAATTGCTTGAGTGGATGCAGTTTTTCAATATAGTCAAGGACCGGCGCAACATCCCATGTTGTGACATACCGCAGTCTAGCTGGTCGTTGTTGAAAACACCCTTTAAAAACCGAGCGATTAGCCCATCTTTATTGATGTCGTGGACTGAATTTAAAGAAATTGTGGAGCGCGTAGTATTTAACGTACTATAGCTTGCACCTTCCTTATAGCGCTCATGTAGGAAGCTAATAATAGCTGTAGTTTGTGCATTAAACATATCTAATTGATGCCTATGAGTAAAGTCCCACCAGTTTCTTGAACCACATTCGTATTGCTTTAGCGTTGACGTGGTATTGGAGTTAACCATCACCTCCATAGCCTCCTCTGATAAGCCTTTTTTCAAAAAAGCTGAGCTGATAACTTGCCTGCCACTAGTGAAAAGTGGAATGCCAATGGATGTTTCTCGTCGCACGGTTGTGTGGGCCATAATGGCACGACAATAACGCCTATCGCTTTATCATTAACTACACAGCCACACAAAAAAAAAAATTTCTTTGGCCTGGGGATCAGACCATGTTTATTATATGTTTTTGGGGTCGCTGAATCCGAATCCGAGGTCCATTAAACCCTATCGGGTCGGGGTTCCGCCATAACCTCAAAAAACAC